CTCAGCGGCCATGGCTCACGGACCCAGCCGCTCCGCGGCATGTGGGATCTTCCCAGACCGGGGCACGAACCCGCGTCCCCTGCATTGTGTGGTTGAGGCGGACTCTCAACCACTGCGCCACCAGGGAAGCCCCCAATTCAGATTTTTAATGGGATCCCTCCTGTGTAGAGAAGAGACTGCAGAGGGACAAAAGTGGTAGACTTGTTAAGAGACAATTTTAGGGTTAAGCACACAAAAGGGATCAGAGGTCCATAGTAGAGCCACGGCTGGTGTTGGGGCCCCACCCCCTCCAAGCGGGGAAGAGACAGACCCTGTCCTCAGCACGCCCAGAGCCTAGACATTTGTTCATGAACAGATAGATATTTATTGAAAGCCTTTTATGTATGCCAGGCACTACTCTGAGTGCTCAGAATACCTCAGTGACCGAACAAAACAAAGACCCCTGCCCTTGGAGCTTATATTCTTATAGGGAGAAATAGAAAGCAAGCAGTAAATAGTACACAAGTCACCTTATACACAGTGTAGAAGGTAGTAAGTGCTATGGAAAAAGAGGGGGAAATTGAGCAGGATGAGGGAGGTTGGGAGTTGGGGAAGGGGCGATTTGCAATTTTAGATAGAGTTGTCAGGGCAGATCTCATAGAAAAACTGATATTTGAGTAATGAAAGAAAGCATGAGCTGTAATTCACTAATAAATGAATGTTTACTGAGTGCCTACTATGTGCCAGGCCTAGGCACTAGGCATATGGCAGTGAAGTAAATCACTCCACCTTGAGACCAAGGCTTCTGAGAGGGCCCCGTGTCCCACCAGCCCCAGTGCATTTTCTGGAGATGGGTGAGTACTTCAGGGAGGCAGAGGTGAGCATGCCTCAGGCCAGCCCTGGTTCTGTCTCCCCTGCAGACACCCAGCGCAGACCTATTCCATTACGACAGCATGAACGCTGTCAACTGGGGCATGCGAGGTGAGTGCCGGCCTCTCCTGGGACTTCACAGGGACCTCACTATAATGCACTGCTCATAATAGCCCGTTTGACAAACGATTCTGGTCCCACGCTGGGCTCTGTGCACACCCCGAGTTCCCTTTCACTTCCCATTCCCTCCCTTTTCCCCTGCTCTTCTCTCATCCTCTCAAGTCCCTGGCCTTGGGTGATCTCCAGGCCATCTGTCCCCTCTGGATTCCCAGAGCCATCACAGAGTGCTTGCTGTTCTCCCAGTACTGCTGAGCTAGAGTTGCCTGCCAGCCCCGGGTGGAGGGAAATACTCAGAGCCAAACGCACATTGTTCCCAGAAAAAATTCCATGAGCCTCATGCTCTCTTCCAGTGACGCTCTCCCACCAGCCTCTTCCAGCTCCTACAAGCAGGCTCAGGCAGGAAGGCAGGCCCACATCAAACCCTGGAGGATTCCCCCCAGAAGATGAAGGATCTCACCCATGTGCTTCATGGTCCCAGACTCTTCTTATTTCTATTCTAAATATCTCAAACGTCATTTTCCCCCTAAAAACCTATCTCTGGATCAGCCAACCCCTTTCTCCATTGTGTTCAAACCATCCTTGATGTGGGATGAATTCAATAAGGACAGTGTCTCTATGACAGAGGCCAGTGTAGTGATGCAAAGCAAAGACTGATGGTTTCTATTTTGTGTGTGTCTCTTTTCTCTCTACAGAGTACAAGGTAAAGATACACAGACCCTGGGGGTCTCCGGGACCCTGCATGTTGCTACACTGGGGACCAGCAGGAAGATGACAGCACTGTCTATGCAGGGAAGGGAACATCGATAAATAACCCCAAGGGTCCTCTCAAGACTAGCATTTCAAGTGCCTCCTTGGCCCAGTTTCCCTGAATCCTGCCCTACATCTCTTGCCTCCTGAAACCAGACAGTTCCCCCGGGCCTCGGAGACTCTCTAGAGGCTTGCCAATCACAGATATGAGACATTTACACTCAGGAGCCCTTGTGCTCACATTAAGGCCAAATGCAACCAAGCTCATCCCTGGCAGTATTCAAGGACTCCAGGGCCTTGCCTTTTGGGAGAAGGTGCCTTGAGGCTGCCAGGAAACCCGAAAAAGGACATACTCAGCCCTTCCTCCAGACTTTAATCTCTGGCTCTTTCTGGACAGAGGAGGGAGCCTCAGCCAGACACAAAATATGTCTGAAGGGACAAGCCCACCACCCTCACCCAACCTACAAATATCCCCCCTCCTCTCTTCTTAGATCTACCCTTATGAACTGCTCCTGGTGACCACAAGAGGGAGAAACCGACTGCCCAAGGATGTGGATCGGACGCGTTTAGAGGTATGTGTAGAAAACTGAGCAGGCGCCTTTGGGTTTGAAGTGATCCCAGAAATTGCCTGGTCTAACCCAGCTTGGGAGGAGCAGGCAGAATGAATGGCGTAAAGGTCACACAGCTGGTTAAAAAGGCAGAGACTCCAACCTGGTTTCCTTAGCCCAAGACTGTTCCCTGCTGTTCTCTGCAGCCTCCTCAATTCAGTTAGCATCTGTGGTGCACAGCTACAGCATGTCTCCAAGTGGGGCTGATGCTTCTGCAGACATAAGAGAAGAGCTAGATTTGGTTCCTGCCCTCCAAGAGTCTGCAGTCTGTCCGATAAGAAGAAACACAGCACTGGTGTTATGCAGGATGGTATAGAAAACCAGTGCCTGTGACAGGGAAGGATGGGGGACAGCTCTGTGCAGAGGGCAAACATATAAGCAAGTCTCAAGCAAGACTCCCTAGGTTCCAACCCTGATGCTGCCATGCCCAACTGGACAGCTTGGCCACATGACAACCTCTCCAAACCGTAGTTTTCTCCTCTGTAAAATGGGGTGACTGTCATGCTTCCCTCAGGCTGCCAAATGACATACATGAGACAATACACATAGAGCCCTTCACATAGAATCCAGCAGTGTACTGAGTAGAAAATTCTTCTTAAGTGTTTCATTGCTGTTACTCAGAGAAGACCACTAAAGCTGGGTGGGGTGACACAGGCTTCCAGGAAGAGGAAGGATTTGGATGGACTTTGGGAGGTGGGCAGGTTTAGATGGATGGAGAGGCAGGAGAGCAACATGAGCAGTGGGAACAGCATAAATAAGGTGCAGACATGGCCTGACCGTGGCACTGGGCTCTCAAGCCATCCAATCCACTTGGCATGGAGTCCCGGTCCCTGGTTACATTAGTTCCAGGAGCACACGCTGCCCTTTTCACCCCAGTGCCTCTCCCTGGAACACCCTTTCCATCTTGCCAGCCTCCTCACTCATCAGGGCCCCATTCTAGTGATGCCTCTGCCCCAAAGCCTCCCCTAAGCCTTCTTCAGGATGTGTCGCTAACCTCTTCCTCCAGCCTCCCCAGCCCTGCGTCCAGAGCACAGATCCAATACCTCTCTTTCTCCTTTGCATCAGATCATCAAGCCATCCATTTCCTCTACCTGACACATTGTCATCTACCACAGGGCCTGGACTAGGGGAGGTGTCAGGAGATGTCTGTGGAATTGAATGCAGGCTTGTAAGAGAGGAGGCTCAGCATTTCTTGGGACCACCCCTGACCTGACGGCTGATGAATTTGCCCAGAGTAGAGGGCTGGAGCTGCAGGAGGGAGATGTGAGTGGGTCAGGAAGCTCTGTGAGTCCTTTCAGCTCTAGCATGCTGGGGTAGCAGGGAAGGAAGCAGATGATTCTCCCCACATTTATAACAAGGGCTTCGTTTCACAGTCTAGCACTGAGTGTCTGCCGGTGCTGAAGGAGACAGCTCCGACGGCAGCTCACTGGAGCCAGCACTTAGGGATGGAAATGTTCACGAACCTGGTTCGTAATGGAGGACCAACTGCTCTCCTACATCCTCCAGGACACCCAGAAGCTCAGACCAGGAAAACGCAACCTTCTCTAAGCATCAGAATCACTTAGGGAGCTTTTTTAAAATACCAGTACAGGGCCCCATCTGAGTCCAATTAAATCACAGTCTGGGGAAGGAGCTCAGGCATCAGTATTTTTCAGAGGCTCCCAGGGATGTCTAATATATAGCCTGAGCTGAGACCACTGGGCTAGAGACACTGCCCTAGCTGTCTGCAGCAGTTCAGGAAGGGCACGGAAGAAGGAAACCCCTGACTCTCTCCTCAAGGAGCTCGGAGTATAGATACTTGTTCACTCAATAAATATTTATTGAAACCTATTATATACACCAGGTACTGTTCTAGGTACCTACAACATATCAGTGAACAAAACAAGGACCCCTGCCCTCTTGGGGCTGGCGTTCTCATGTGAGGAGACAGACAGTAAATGACACAAGTAATAAATAAAGGATATAGTATGTTGGGAATTAACCGGGCTGAGGGAAAGGGTAAGAGGAGAACAGAGTGAGGGGGGGGGGGTTGGGAGTTGGAGGGGTGAATTGCAGTTTTCAATAGGGTGGTCAAAGTAGATCTCATTGAAAACATGACATCTGAGCAAAGACTTCAAATAGGTGAGGGAGTTAGCCATGCTTATATAGGAAGGAAGAGCATTCTGGGCCAAGGGAACAGCCGCTGCCAAGGTCTTGATGCAGGAGTGAGTCTGGTGTATTGGAGGATGGCAGGAGGTGAGTGTGGCTGGGGCCACGTGAGCCCAGAAGAGAGGATGAGGAGATGAAATCAAAGGAAACAGAGACTAGGCCATGCTATGTGACAGACACATGAAGAGATCACTGCACTAATGAGAGTGCCGGTGATTGAGTGCCAGCCACTGTGCCAAGCACGTTACCTGCATCATCTCAGTCACCCTCACAATATCCGTGAGGTAGGTACTGGGATGCTGCCACTCTCAGAAGAGGACACTGAGGCTCAGTGAGGTTACCATGTCCAAGGTCACATGCTCATATCTGCCTGGCTGTAAAGCCTATGCACTTAACCTTTATGCTTTAAAATCTGCGGTGAATGTCAAATGGACAGGGCTGCCATTGTGTGCTCTGAGAACTCAGAGGAGAAAGGAGGCTCCACATGGCCCTTAACAGGAGGAGAGAAGAAAAGCCTCAGACTCCTTCAGTGTGTCCTACAGTGTTTACTTCAGTAGTTTAGTCTGCCATTCCTTTATATTGAGTCTTATTTAAAAAAAAAAAAAAAAGATTTTTAAAGACAGTGGAGAAAGCCAGCTAGAGAATCAGCAGTAACCATCACTCTCTAACAACAACAACAACAAAAAGAACAAATGAGACAGTTCCCCTCAGTCTTTACTATGGAAGGAGCGGAGAATGCTCTCATATCCACATATTTTTCAGCACTCGAGTGCAAGTAAAACAGATTTGGGCAAGTCAACAGCATGAACAAGAGAAGAGGGGCACTGTCTAGACTGGTGGAGTCTAACAACCAAATGTGATGTGTGGATGCTGTTTGAGTCCTTATTCAAACAAACCAACTATAAAAAAACACTTTGAGACAATCAGGGGAATTTTATTGTAGACAGGTATTAGGTAATTCTGTGGAATTACTGTCATTTTTTCCTTGCCCATGCTGTTGTGGTTATGTAAGAAAATAGCCAGTATGTTTTGAGATGCAAACTGCTGTATGTGGGAGTGAACAGACAGTGTCTGCTTTAAGACACTTCAGCAAAGGAAACAGATGAAGCAAATGTGGTAAAACTCTTTGAATCTGGATGATGGGCATGGGTGTGCATTTTCTCTCTTTTGTGTATTTTTGAAATTTTTCATAAAAGAAAGACGTATTTATGAAATTCTTAGTGGGACTGACCAAGAGGGGCAGTGAGAGTACACTGCATTTGGACTCAGAAGCCCTGGACTTCGGTCTCAGCTCTGCTATTTACCTAGTCTCCTCTTCTCCCTCCCTCTTGGGCAAGTCATTTTAATTCTCTGACTTTTGCTTTTCTCATCTTTCAGTTGGGTAGAAATAAGTCCTGGTTTTCAGAAGAAAATCAGGTCAGAGGAATTAAAGGAGAAAAATGAGGGTGAATGTACCTTTATGAACTACTGAGCATAATACAAACGCAATACAAGGAATTGGTGGCAGTGTTAAATATTAAGTACTAAAAAATCAACTCAGAGTCATCGGCAGCCAATGATACCTAACAAAAGTATCAAAGTTACTTTTACCTAAAGTTCTGGAAATGTGGCGAAAACATTAATTCACAGGGACAGTAGGCCAGAGAATTGTCTAATTGTTACGTGGCTGTATACATGATTCTCATTCAATCTCCCTCAATACTCAATTAGCTAATATAATTGCTACCAACAGCAAGTGAATGCGGGAAGTTTACAGGCAGGATATATGCCATCTATTTCTATCTTTAAACATAATTGTAAATTTTATTTTGAAAAATAAAATTTCAGACCTCCAGAAAAGTTGCAAGAATTGTAAAATGAGTATCCATCTACCCTTCACTTAAATGTACCAATTTTTCACATTTTGCCACATTTTAAGTACCATATATTTCTAACTCTAAAAGCTTAGGATAATGTATCAACTTTCAAGGCTGATGGGAAGGGGCAGGAGAGAAGGCAGGCAGAAAGGGGTTAAAAAACCTGCCAAGGCATGCAGAACAATGTTTCATTATATGGCATACTTGTTTTCAAATAAGAAAGAGATGAAAGGACATTTTGGGGAGGGGCGGGTTGGAGAAATCTGGACAGTAACTTTTTTTCATTGACTGGCCTAAGGAACAACCTTCCAGATCATTTGTAAACTAATTAGTAAGAGGAAATACGCCCTAAAATCTTGGGCATGCCTCCTTTTTCTTCCAAAGCAAAGAGCGATAACATTAATCCATACACACTCCTGGACACAATGCATGGAGCAGGGACTGCAGAAAGGGGAGGTCAACTGGGATGCATCGAGAGGCACTTAGGAGAAGCAGAAGTCCCACCTGAGTCCTGGGCAGGGGAGGCCTCTCCAGCCAGACCAGCTACAGAGGTCCCTCCCAGGAAACATCCACTCACACACTGATCCATTCAACAGATATTCATCATACACCTTCCATGGGTCAGACACTGCCAGGCACAGTGTACCCAGAGGAAACGTACAGGAACCACTCCTGCCTCCACCTGCCCCCAGCCTGCACCTCACATCCTCAAGCTGTTCCCTCTGTCTCCTCCCACCTCCTTGCAGCGCCACCTGTCCCAGGAAGAGTTCTACCAAGTCTTCGGCATGACCATCTCCGAGTTTGACCGGCTGGCCCTCTGGAAGAGGAATGAACTGAAGAAGCAAGCCCGGCTGTTCTAGGCAGAAGCTCTATAAATATATATGCATTTATATAAAGATATATGTAAACTCTCTATACTGAAGCTCGGTATAATCCTCTCTTGTGTAATGGGACACACTGCCTGCCATGAGACTTGCTTTTCTGTATCGTCAGGCAAGCCCACATCTTCAAGATATTTTTATGCTCCTTCCTTTCTCTTTTCTAAGTGCAATGGGATTTGGGAAGGGATTCGTGGGGACTCCCATCCTTTTACTGGGAAGCCTTTTTATACTGAAACATCTCTCCTGACTTGAGTCCCCTAAGGTCCAACTCTCTTTCCTAAAGGAGGTGCCTGAAGGAGTCTCTCTTCTCTCTGCTTCTCGGCTCTTTTCCCCCGTCTCCATGGAGGATGCTGCAGTTTTCATACCTTATTGGCCCCAGAGGGGCCCTCTCATGGGAGGATCCACAGCATTCTCCCCAAGTCACTGAGCACCTTTAAGAGCCCTGAGGAATTTTCTCATCACCCCGGCTAGGACCTCAATGCTGTCTGGGGGTGATGCAGCTAGAAATGTGGGTTTCACGTCTACTCGTTACAGAAGTAAACAAGTGGATAGGGCCCTGGCCTCTCCTCTCCTCTCCAATCCTCCTCCTATCCTTGATCCTCACCTCTCTCTAGTCCAAATCTACGCCTCATGGTAGGAAAAGAAAAAGCACTTCCCTTCCCTGCACTATTACTTCCAATGGCCCCCTGCCTGGCCCCTATGTGGAGAACCAGAGGGAGGGAGCGGGAGCTGGAAGCAGGAGACAGAGCAGGGCACCCGTTAGCACTGGAGCTGCAGGACCTCTTGGGACCCTCCCTCATTGCTCCCAGAACCTCCTGACCCTTCCCCCTTTGGAGGAGAGGCCCATTATTGAAGCTTGTATTTTTCAGCCTTACTACAATCTATGTGCCTGACAACTCACCACAGGGCTAATGTTCCCACCACAGCTCCAACCGAACAACTAGACAGACAACCTCTAACACTCCCCCCACCAAAGGTAATATAGGCCATGTCCTACAGAAAGTTTCCCGGCCTATGTCTTCTGGTCTCTGGGCTGGCAGAGCAACCCAACCAGACCCCCACCAGTCCTCGGCTTGCATTGCCAAGTTGGCCATGGTTCATGGGGGAAACTTTTGAAGAATGACTACTTACGAGATTCCAAAATGGAGCACTGGCCAACACCACTCATGGTCATACTGATTTCCCCAGTGGCTGCCTTTCCTGCCTCCCTGGCTTCTCGAACGGGGTGAAAGCTTAACCTTCTCCCCACCCCAAACCTGCAACCACGAGTTGGTGATATCTGGTGGGGTCTGTTCCTTCCTGGAGATGGCTGGAGTCAGACCACTGAGGTCATGGAGGAAGGATGAAGAAGTGGAGATGGCAGTTATCACTCTCAAGAGGTTACGTGTGGTGGCAAATGTAGAACTGACTTCAACTCAACAAACCCTCACTGAGCACCTGCTGTATACTGAGCACTGAATGGGGGAGGGAGACGGAAATACTGGGATGAGCAACATGGGGCCCGACTTCAGGGGCATGCCTACTAACAATGGGTACCGTAAGGCAGGTACTCAAACATGATGGATGTGAGGCAGAAAGTGATAGGAGACAGCATGAGAAAATGTGACATTACTAAGAAGGCATATGCAGCTGGTGCAGACCAAGGAAAGCTTTCTGGAAGAGACTGCATTTGAGCGAAGTTCAGGAAGGATCTTTGTAAACTGGGAGGAGACTGTAACTTGAAAGGGTGATAGGATGAGGGGCCATAAGGGAGGTCTAATATGCTCTCATTTAAAATGTCAGCCCTCTCTGCATCTTTTCTTTTTGGCCAATGTCTTTCAACTGTCCTGACCCCTTTGGAAATGTCCCCAGCCAGACACATTCATTGAAACTGCCTCATTATCACTGGTTGAGAACTTGGCGAGATTGAAGGGCTTTTGTTATTATTGGATTTTTTTTTCCCATAAATGCACATAATTTCAACCCAGACTCGTGTCCTTCTGTTGTTTCTAGTGTGAGTGAAGATGAGTGACGTGGGGAGAGACTGAACCATGCACATTTTTCAAAATAAAAGTGTCAGAGAGCACCCCTTCCTTGGCCTCAGTTTCTCCTTCTGTAATAAAGTTTGACCAGGTAAGCATTACCCAAATTGTTTCCTGCAGAACACAGGGTCCTGCAGGATGGAAGAGGATGTTCCAATAACAAAGAAGGTTTGATGATCAGAAAATAATAATAAGACCCAGGTGAGCTGGCGACTTCCAAGAGGTAGTGAACCTGGAGGTGGGGAAGCATAGTGAGTGTCAGAGTACTCACGGTCAGTAAACCACCCAGCCTCTGCATTTGACCTCATCTGATTCAGTGTTACAGGTATTTGACAAACAGGAGGGAGATCAAGAGTAGAAGGACACAGAACTCACCTTCCCCCCACACACATACACATCAAAAATACATCTAAATGTGGAACAATTCTCACAGAAAGCCGATTGAAAACTAGCAGAAGATCTCTTATACAACCAAAGCTGCAAGTAAGATCCCCATGTAACCAGGTAGGACAAAAAAGAAAAATAAGGCATCAGGAAGGGACCAGCACCCCTGGGAGGGAGTTATGAAAGAAAAGAGGTTCGCTCACCCTGGGAACCCCTGTTGCCAGCTGGGAGGTCCGCCGGGACAGATAGGGAGCTGAAAGGGCCTGGTCTCTGCTCATGAGGAGTGTGTGTGTGCTGGCTTGCTAACAATCAGGGCAGAGAGAGACCAGCGCTTGACGGCTGCCACGTCGTCACACTTCTCAACCCAAAATGCAATCAAGGCGGGCCTGCTAATAGGCACAACAGCTAGGCACTGAAACTCGGCCTTCAGGAGAGGGACCCTGGGAGAGGACTCAATCTAGCTGTGCAGAGATAACCAGAAGGGCCTGGAGTGTGGTCTGGGCCACCATTGTTACCGCACGCCACAGGGGCACAGTCCACCATAGGAGCCCCAATTACAGCATGCGCAGGGCAGGGCATGGGTATACCATAAGAGCCCCACTGTCAGCGTGCTCACGGAGGGATGCAGCACCAGTAGTGGTGGACTTTGTGAGTCCACACATGACAGGAGTGGGGCTGACATCAGAGCCAATTATCAGGGCTCCCATAGCGGGGGCGGGTCCAAGAACAGGTCCGGCAACAATGGACCATGTTGCTGCGCACACCAGGTGGCACAGCCATCACAGAATCACAAATCCCCTGTGACAGCCCCTGGAGAGGAGTTTGCAGTGGTTCCTTTCCCAGCAGGAACACTCCAGTCCTGCCTACTTCACACCACAGCTTGGAGTCATAACTGGGGCAGACAAGCCCTGGGAGAGCCCTATCACAGAGGCACCCCAGGTGCCAAGTGGCAGCACAACCACCTTGATTCCTGCAGCCACAATGCCCCGGCCCCCAGTGCCTGCCTGACACTAGGTCTCAGTCAAACACTACGGAGAAAGGGACATAACCTTGGGCTGCTTCTGGGCAAAACCGGGGATGCCTGCACAAGGTTCTCTGTGACCACACAGGCCTCACTTGCTTCAGCACTCACCTCCTTGGGGACAGAGCACACACTTAAGAGCAATGCAGCCTTACTAAACCCAGCCCTCAGGGCTTCTACTTCAACAACTGGGGAGCAGACCCCACCCCTGACAGGGCTGTGGCAGCCACAGGGGAAAGAGGAGGTCCCACCCAACTTCCAGTGCAGACTCAGGTTACCACAACACCAATCATACCCCCCATCAAGGGGATAATTTCCACTCTGAGGAAAGACATGGCCGTCATCCATACCAAAACTACTGGATTCACACAGTCTACACAGGGACACTCATACATTAAAAACAGCCAGCCCTTCAATGGGACTTCCCTGGCAGTCCAGTGGTTAAGACTCTGCCCTTCCACTGCAGGGCTATGGGCAGGGGGTATGGGTTCAATCCCTGGTTGGGGAACTAGGATCCCACATGCCACAGAGTATGGCCAAAAAAAAAACAAAACAAAAAACAAAACACAGCCCTTCAAGACCACAGTAGATAAGTGTTTCTCCTAAATTCATAGAAACAGAGAAATGTAAGTAAAATGAAAAAGCAGAGGAGCTACTCCAACTGAAAGAACAACAGAAATCCCCTGAAAGAACAAACAGTAAAACAGACCTCTCTAGTCTGCTAGACACCAAGTTCAAAAAGGAGGTAATAAAAATGCTAAAGGAATTAAGAAAGATTATCGACAGAAATGCAGATCACTGTAACAAGGAGCTAGAAACTATGAAGAGGAACCAGTCAAAACTAAACAACTGAATTGCCAAGATAAAAACCAAGCTAAAATCAATGAATAAGACAAAGATACTACAAAAAAAAGAAAATCACAGGCCAATATCACTGATGAACATAGACACAAAAATCATTAATACAATACTAGCAAACCGAATCCAACAACACGTTAAAAGGATCATACACCATGATCAACTGGGATATGTCCCAGGCATGCAAAGATTCTTCAATATACGCAAATCAATCAGTGTGATCACCACATTAACAAACTGAAGAATTTAAAACCATATGATCAGGACTTCCCTGGTGGTCCAGTGGTTAAGAATCCGCCTCCCAATGCAGGGGACATGGGTTCGATCCCTGGTTGGGGAACTAAGATCCCACATGCTTCAGGGAAACTAAGCCTGCACACTCTAGAGCCCACGTGCCACAACTAGACAGAAGCCCGCACACCGCAATGAAAGATCCCACATGCTACAATGAAGATCCTGTGTGCCGCAACTAAGACCTGATGCAGCACCCAAAAGTAAATAAATAAATAAATATTTTTTTAAAAAAAAACTATATGAGGGACTTCCCTGGTTGTCCAGTGGTAAAGAATCCACCTTACGATGCAGGGGACACGGGTTCGATCCCTGGGTGGGGAACTAGGATCCCACATGCCTCAGGGCAACGAAGCTTGCGCACCACAACTACTGAGCTTGTGCGCCTCAACTAGAGAGCCTGCGTGCCACAAACTGCAGAGCCACATGCTCTGGAACCCGTGTGCCACAACTAGAGAACAGAAAACTCACATGCCATAACTAGAGAGAAGCCAAAGCGCCTCAGTGAAGAGCCCGTGCGTTGCAACAAAAGATCTCGCATGCTGCAACGAAGATCCCGCGTGCCGCAACTAAGACTTAACGCAGCCAAAAATGAATATAATAAATAAATAAATATTTTTAAAAATATACGATCATCTCAAAAGATGCAGAAAAAGCTTTTGATAAAATTCAACACCATTTATGATTAAAAACTCTCCAGAAAGTGGTCACAGAGGGAACCTACCTCACCATAATAAAGGCCATATATGATAAACCCACAGCTAACATCATCCTCAACAGTGAAAAACCGAAAGCATTTCCTCTAAAATCAGGAACAAGACAAGGATATCCACTCTCGCCACTTTTATTCAACATGGTTTTGGAAGTCCTAGTCACAGCAATCAGAGAAGAAAAAGAAATAAAATGAATACAAATTGGAAAAGAAGTAAAACTATCACTGTTCCCAGATGACATAATACGATACCTAGAAAACCCTAAA